GGAGAGTGGGCAGGGAAACCCACTAATTTTCCGAAGGTGCTACCCAAAGATCACATTTTTGATACTGAGAAGGCGCACTGCTCCCTCCTGCTGGGCTAGCCTCAAGGAGGAAAACCAGTGGCTTTCCCAGTGACATTGCTACATGTATTTCTTAAGGAGATGGTCCTAAGGAAGGCTGGAGAGCTGAGAAGCCTTCCCTGTGGACCCTGCACCTTGAGATCATGCCACATCAAGGGGATAGCAGAGATGCTTTAGAACAGAGAGCTAGATCTCCACCCAGCAAAGAAATCTGCAGTTGTATTATTTCCTATCTCACGACCTTCACAGCAGGGATCAGGGGCACCATTTCCAATCTGCTAGAGAAGCCGAGAAACTTCCTGTCAGATTTTCTAGTAGACCTTTCACCAAACCATTAGCATTGGTTCCTTGTCCCAAATAGCAGCCGTCGGGGAACTGGTCCACTCCAGTCTTTCGCACTGCATGTTGTATTTTCTCAAAGCTGGACGCCAACACTATCCCTTGCCCTGGGTCAACTGAAGCCCAGCCCATAGTTGTGAACTCCGCCTTCCCCAGTACACAGCTAATGGCAAAGTCATTTTGTGTAGCAGCCCCGATCTGAATCCCCAGTGCTTTCTGTCATTCCAGAGGATCTCCCTGGGCAGGAGTGGCCGAACCCCCCCCCCACTAGAACGCTGCACTGCAAAAGGGGCCGTCTGCCTGCTAATCGGTGGTGGGTTATACTTTTTTATGGTGTCAGCATTCCTGCAACAACGCCAAGCACACCCCTAAGAGCTCTGTCCTGCAGTGCTAGAATAACACCCCTCCTACAGAGCGCCTCCTTCAAGGGAGCACAGACCAGTTAATTCAGATAAAGCTACGGCGGAATGAGTGACCTCATCAGTCACAAGGCACTTTCACTACTGACATGGAGACTTGGGTTCAGATACGTGTCACCTCTCCAGCTGAATTCATTTGGTGGACTTAACCCATTCCTATTGAACAGCTGTCTGTGTCACAAAACCGGCACCGTGGGAGCTCCACTGTGTGTAAATAGTTTTGGGTAACATGGACACCGCTGTTTGCTGTTGAACTAGGTCAAAATTCCCTCTCTTCCTGTCTTCTCTTTACGAATACACCCCCGGTCGCTGGCTACAAGCACATGGTTCTCCACACCCGCTCCTCACTCCTCAAGTCACATTTCAATTAATGTTCCGTTCTACACATCTGTCAGTCTCACAGTCTGCCCTGAGGTCTAGAAAACACGGGGTCATTTATCACATGGGGCGTGAATTCCTTTCAACCTCCAAGAGTTAAAGATCAGGAGAGTCCCTGCTTAAAAAAAATTCCTATCTTTTTAAAATATTCCAAACAGTTCTTGATATACATGGGCACACTTTGATTATTGCACATGAGAAACTAAACTGAAGACAGGAAAATCTGAAGATAATGTCTCGGTTCCTGGCTAAACTGAGGGAAGTGCCACATGCAGATACGGCATGTGGATGCCCGGTTCGGTGGAAATGCACATGTTGTTGGACTTGACCCAGATTCAAAGCCTGGGTCTAGCCGTTCAGTTTCCAGGAGGAAGAGTGGTCCTGTGACACTCAACAGCAACTACTCCAGCAGACTCCGGTGCCTGGTGCCTGGCTTCAGAGAAAGGCCAGTCCAGAAGTATGGCATAATCGGAGAGGGAGGGTGATCCTAAGGCCTCCATAGTGGGCAGTGGAGAGAGACCCTACCAAATTCACAGCCATGAAAAACACGTCACGGACCATGAAATCTGGTCTGCCCCCGTGAAATCAGGCCTTTTGTGTGCTTTTACCCTATACTATTTCCCTATAGATTTCACGGGGGGAGACCAACGTTTCTTAAACTGGGGGTCCTGACCCAAAAAGGGTCATGGTATGGCCACCCTTACTTCTGCGCTGCCTTCAGAGTTGGGTGGCGGGAGAGCAGCGGCTGTTGGCCAGGCGCCCAACTCTGAAGGCAGTGCCCCACCAGCAGCAGCACAGAAGTAAGAGTGGCAATACCATCCCATGCCATCCTTCCTTCTGCACCGCTGCCTTCAGAGCTGGGCAGCCGGAGAGCGGCAGCTGCTGACTGAGGGCCCAGCTCTGCAAGCAGCAGCGCAGAAGTAAGGGTGGCAATACCATACCATGGCCTCCTTACTTCTGCGTTGCTGCTGGCGGCGGCTCTGCCTTCGGAGCTGGGCTCCCAGCCAGCAGCTGCCGCTCTCCAGCCGCCCAGCTCTGAAGGCAGCGCCATTGCCAGCAGCAGTGCTGAAGTAAGGGTAGCAGTACCACAACTACCCCCCCCCAACTCCTTTTTGGGTCAGGACAGATATAAATACCTGACATCGTTAAATTTATTATTTTTAAAATCCTGTGACCGTGAATTTAGAGCTCTTCATCTCTGGAAGAAACAATTTGCAAGCCCAGAGATATTCATTGAGTGTCATGGCACTGGTGGGTCTGTGCCCAGCCTGGGGCCATGCACAAAGATCCCCAGAGCTGAGCACACAGGAGAATCAAAGCAGTCCCTTTGGATCACTTCTTGCTGCCTCTTTCGCTGAGACCCCAAGCTCTGCAATGTGGCTGGCTGAGTTTCCTGGGCCACGTGATAGTGGCTACAGTCTCTCTGGTACTGAAGCTTTTTGGTGGCCAGTCCATTCTGCAGCCATTAGGCCAGACCTCCCACAGCTAGGCTGTTGTTCTGAGCACTGTGGCTCCCTGTGTCCTTTCACTTACCAGAGTTCCACTTCCAAACCAGCCGGGGGAAGCAGGTTAGCACTGGGGGGCTAGCGAGGGAGGGCCCTTGAACCGCAGCCGTGCTGATTTCAACCACTCAGGCCTTTGTCTGAGGCTCCAGTTTCATGAGCTGTCTCCTTCCGATTTGAGCTTTGCAGCCAGCCGTGCAATCAGGTCCGTCAGTGACACCACAGCGGGGAATCAAGCTCAGTGTGTGGACACAATGCAAGTGTGTGTCATTAAGGAGAGAATGGAGATTGACGGATAGGTTAAAGCTGAGAGCTCTCTTGTGCTCCCATCAAGAGTCTGCAATTGAAATCAGGAGTCCTGAGACCCCCCTGCCCAGCCCAAAGGGTGGCAAAGGCTCTATTAGCAGAATGTGACTAATCATCTTAAGTAGCTACCAAAGTGCAGCACAGCTTGTTAAGCGTTTAGCCAGGCTGTGCTGGGATGACCTCTCTCAATCTTCCCAGACTGCAGTACAAGTGGCTAATTATTTGATCACACCTGCCACACTCACACTCTCTCTCTGAGCCCTCCAGAAAGGACCGTTCTAATTCGACTCGCCGTTTGGTAAAAATCTCGTCCTTTTGATATAATAGCACCAGCCCCCTCTTTTCATCAGAACCAGGCCGGGTGTGGGTGGGGTTAACCCCAGGTTTAGAAATCCAACTCCTCTCTAAAGCCTCCAGCACTGTCTGTTGCTGTGGCTGTAGCAGGCGTGGGTCCCGCTGGGAGAGGATTAGGTGGGTTCTGCTGACTCCCTGAGGCAGGTAACTCGTTACCTTAACCAGACGTGCACGAGGTGGAGGTGACTGTCTAGAGAGAGTGAGGAAAGATCGAGGGCAGGGGTGGGCAAACTTTTTGGCCTGAGGGCCACATCGGGGTTGCGGAACTGTATGGAGGGCTGGGTAGGGAAGGCTGTGCCTCCCCAAACAGCCTGGCCCCCGCCCCCTGACTGCCCCCCTCAGAACTCCTGACCCATCCAACCCCCCTTCACCTTGTCCCCTCACCACCCTCTCTGGGGACCCCCCACCCCATATCCAAACCCCCTGCTCCCTGTCCCCTGACTGCCAAGACCCCTATCCACACCCCCACCCCCTGAG